GGGAGGTGGAGGTTGCAGTGAGCTGAGACTGTGCCACTGCATTCTAGCCTGAGACAGAGCAAGACTCCATCTCAAAAAAGGAAAAAAAATTGTATTTTCATGTGGTGTGGTGGCATGCACCTGCAGTCCCAACTACTTGGGAGGCTAAGCGGGGAGGACTGCTTCAGGGCAGGATTCATGTCTGCACCAAACTATGATTCCCACTGCACTCCAGTGTGGTTGACTGAGTGAGATCTTGCCTTCTTGAAAAGGAAAAAAAAAAAAAAGTTATTTTTTAAATGAAGAAGAGCCAATTTAAGTGTTTAAAAATCCTTTGTTAGAATAACATATTACCAAACCAAAACAATTTATTGCTTCTATGTGGGAAGGTTGATCTTGAGCCTGCGGGGAGCAAGCTGGCCCCAGATTTCTCCAAGTCCACATTTCTTTGCCTCCAATTCTTACATGTCCAAAGACAAGGAACTATAGACATGCCTTTGTAGGAGGGTAAATACATTATTTTTAAATGTTTCTTACTGTTTTTTAAATAACTTTTTTTTTTTTTGAGATAAGAGTTTCACTCTTGTCGCCCAGGTTGGAGTGCAGTGGTGCCATCTGGGCTCACCGCAAGCTCTGCCTCCTAGGTTCAACTGATTCTCCTGCCTCAGCCTCCCAAGTAGCTGGGATTACAGGCATTTACCACCACACCCGGCTAATTTTGTATTTTTAGTAGAGACGGGGTGTCTCCATGTTGGTCAGGCTAGTCACTAACTCCCGACCTCAGGTGATCTGCCCACCTTGGCTTCTCAAAGTGTTGGGATTACAGGCATGAGCCACCGTGCCCAGCATAAGTATTTTTTTTTTTTTTCTGAGACAGAGTCTCACTCTGTCCCCAGGGTTGGAGTGTAGTAGCACAATCTTGGCTCACTGCAACCTCTGTCTCCCTACTTCAAACGATTCTCCTGCCTCAGCTTCCCGAATAGCTGGGACTACCAGTGCTTGCCACCACGTCCAGCTAATTTTTGTATTTTTAGCAGAGACGGGGTTTCACATGTTGGCCAAGATGGTGTCAAT